TGCTACGGGAAATGCAGTAGTCGCCAAAAGAAACGTGAGACTACTTGTGCAATTACGAAAGAGGCCAGGCGTCTCAAAGTCGACATGCTAGGTGAGCCTTCTGGGTACACTCTTATCTCATTTACATCGCTCTTACGACCAATGCAATTAATTTCCAACTGGAATTTTCATTCCTGCCGATGGAAAGCCGGTCGTCACTTTCTCTTCCTATTTATTATACGTTTTTTTTATTTTCACCGTCTTATACTTCCAAATGACAACGTAACGCCTAATCTCGTTCTTTCCTATTATCGACACGTGAGCGGTTATTTATTTATTTTCTTGCATTTTATTTGATCCTCTTATTACGTGTTGTGCAATTTAACGCTAATTTAATGTTAATTTAACAATATTCTTTTTCGAACTTTCTGACTTTAAAATATTCATCAAAGCCATTATTAGTTACTGTGATATTACTACAAATATCTTATTGATCAATACAATAAGCAATAGAAGCAACTTTTATCAACATAAAAATACTTAAATTCCTGTGATTATTTAAAATAGTATAATATAAATTGATCTATTGACAATGATCTAATTATTGATAATTATTTAATTTTTAATTAATTACAGTAACAGTGTTCAATAAAAACAAAAACAATAACAAAAAAAATTCTCTTAAACGATTACTTAACAAATTTCGATATAAATTGACTTTAATTAAATCAACATCGTTATATTTATGTGCAATCTTATATCAATATTAAACGAGATGGTAAAAAAATACTAATAAAGAATTTTTTAAACGTTGAAATGATTTAAAAAATCATTTTTTTATCATATAATTTATAACGTACTTGTTAAATGCTGATACATTTGTACTATTAACGATATTTCATCAAACCAATAGATCGTATAGAAATTTTAATGAAGGGTTAACTTGTACAATAAATCCGACTTAATGTTTTTGTTATTAAACATACGGATTGTGGTATCGATAAACATATCGATACTGGTTACTCCATATAATGAAAACTATCTAAGCCTCCTACCATTTACTAATCCTTAACTTATTTTTCATTTTGCAGCAAGTATACTTCTCTCATATCGTTATACATCATTAAGCGACTAACTTTCTATCAGGATCTTATCTATTTGGGAACATTATAAAGAGGCTTAACCCCGATCTCGTGAATAATTCGCAATAGCAATAGGCGTTGTAGATCTATATCTCATTTTCTCTTGCATCGTTCATATCGTCTCCTACCTTTTACGGCACCTCCGATATAATAATAAACAGGTATTGCTAAAACTGCGCGAGATGGGTGGGGCGGGGCGGGGCGGGACGGGGGGGAGGGGGGGGGAGGGGGGGGGGGGGGGGGGGGCAGATGAGAGAGAGGGGACGGCAGAGTGGGAGAGAGAGACTCTTGATTTGGCTTATTATAACTTCAATAATTATATTGCCAATGCTATTGTGAGGACAAAGAACTCTACAAGAGAGCCCTGTCACGAATCTCCATATGTACGCACGGGGTTTATCAAAAGAGAGGAACAGAGAGAGAGAGAGAGAGAGAGAGAGAGAGAGAGAGAGAGAGAATGTAAGGGAAAAGTGGGAGAGGATGGTGCTAGAGGAACAGGCTAAACGTAATAATAATTTATATATTTATAGTAGAAATAGAACATTTATAATAATTATTTAAGCCAAACACTATAAAAATTTTTTTATTTTTATAAATAAGGAATATTAATGTTTTAGTTAGAGTAATGAAATGTAATAAGATAAAAATAGATGCAAAAAGAAGTAAAATTTGTGTATGTGTCATAGAGAGATATCCAGGCTTTAAATGAACGCGTGTGCGTGTATGTATGAGCGAGAGAAGGAGAGAGAGAGAGAGAGAGAGAAAGAGCAAAAGAGATGGTTGCCTAGTAGTAGGCCAGCTGCCGCTAATCCTCTCTTTGTAATTTGCCTCCGTGACCCCCTGCCAGTGACGCGGGTTCGCGTCCCCCCCCCCA